CAGCCCACATTTACTTCTAAACACAGATTCAAACTAATAAATATCAGAGCCTCTAATGTGTAACTGTAATTCTTGAGCCACGATTATATACTTTAGATAAGATACATTAAAAGCAAGAATTTACGTTATACGAATATTTAACTGTAACTTTAATCAATGTTATGCTCAATTCATGTTCATGTATGTATTCAATGATCATGTTTGCTCTTTTTGTTTGCACTTTAACACAATTTAAAAACCAGAACTATAAAAAAACAATAAAAATTAAATATTTTACCTGTTAGAGATGGGTAACTATTATTTTTGATAAAAAAGGGGACAATATAGCTCCAAAATTTCTTGATTTTTTTCTGGCAATTAGCCATATTTCATTAGATGACTGGCCTATAGTTTTATTGCATATATCAGAAACCCTTTCCTTACTTAGTCTTAAGCAATTTTGTACATACAATATTTTGTCTTGAGCCTCGAGATATTGTTGGAAAAACACAATGCCTTTAATGTCAACGTTTTGTGACACAACAGGTTCTTTTTTCAAAAGCCTTGAAAACCCCACATCATTTTCAGATAAACCTAAATTGCTTTTAAATATTTCCATACTTTCAGTACTTGGAGCTTCTTTGATTGATTGATAGTCTTTTGTACCAAATAGTTCGCCAATAGTTTTTTATTCCATCATTTTGGGGCCTTTTGCTACTCAAGCACAAGCTACGTCTGTGACGGCCATCGTTCTGGTACGCGAAATGTGCTGTTACTGCAATATGGTGGCATAACCATTGTCCTCTTGGACAAGTACATGTTGCTGTCTCGATATCCTAATCGCCATCAAGTTTTATCTGCAAATAATATATATTTATATCCTTATTAATAACATTAATAACATAAAACGAAATCATGTTCACACACAATATAACACTCACCTCAACCTTGTAGACGCGGTCTTTCATGCTAGCATGAATATTTCCCTGCATAACAAAAAGCTGTCCATCAAATACCATATCTTGGTTTGGTTTGATTCTGCCCCATTTTTTCAACGGGAACAAGCCTTTCTTTATCCCTGAAGTGGTTCATTATGGTAGAAAAACGTAACGTTCGAGCCCATAATTTAAACAAAAAACATTGACATTTTAGTTTACATTTTTATTTTTATCTTACTTTTAAAAATTTTCGTCTTTTAAATTAAGACATGGATCCAGTTTTTCTACAATCTACATAAAATTGTTACAATATTATATAAATATACTTACAGATATAAAATAAATGAAACTGTGTACAAAAAAATTCCTGTCGCGCTAAAAATTTTAGACAGTGACAGTGACGCTTGCGTTTGACGGACGAGCCGTGGTCACTGCGTGACGTAAGCATCCACGGCGACTACGATGGCGGCGATTTGATGCGATCGAACAGTCCTTTAGAATATATACAGTCCTTGGACAGCATCAACATAACGAAAAATCTTTAATTTCTAACTTAAAATAATTTAAAATAACCTCATATTAAATTAAGCTTATTATTGAGCGCTAAAAAAACCCGCTGTTGACGCGCTCTATAAATCAATACCTCGCTCTGTCTCTCTCTCTCTCTCTCTCTCTTTGAACGATATTCTCCTCCAGAGGGACGAAAAGTTAGAAGGGCCTGGTTGCTTTTCATTAAATCTGAGAATTCTCTTTCACAGAAAAGATGTGTTGTTGAAGGTGGAATAGCGTCCATCAGGCTAGCTCGTAAGGGATCCCTAGGAAGGAAAAGATTGCGCCTTTGTTCTATCACTTCAGCTCGGCGGCCACAAGCATACTGAAGGACGTCGTCCGAGATACAGCGGAAGGAAGATTCTGGCGAGAAAGCACCAACGATCTCAGCTTTAATATTGGGATGTTTTAATGTTAAGTCCTGAATAGCAGATGCAAAAGCCTCCCTTTACAGGAAAACTCCATGGACCAAAGTTCCCAAAGTTGTATGCATACGAGCTAAGTCTGAATTTGAGGTTCGATATGACAGTTCCTGATTGACCTTAAGAGCGCTGAAAACTGGAAACGCATTTAGTCTCTTCGGAGAACCTCCGAATATCGAATTAGTTTGAATGATGATTCTCCAAGACGTTGACACTCCGTGCCCTCTTTCGCAATAAATAGCAGGCTTAGGAGCTGGCATGGCTGGTTCCTGTTCCTTGGTTTTAGGATTAAAGTCAAAAACTTCGTTTATTGGCAATAGCGGGGCTGAAAGAGGGGCTGACCAGCTCACCTCATCTAATACAGGAGAGTGATGCTTTGGGGAGTGAGGGCAGTCTTCATGGTCATGGGAAAAATCATCCGAGGAATACGACTCGTATGCAGGTTGGACTGGAGCAGCTCCAAAATTAGTCATGAAAGTTTCAAACATATTTTTAAGTTCCAACTGGCCCTGTTCCAATCTATCTAGTCTAGACTTCCGACCCACTTTTGAAGATCCAGCAGAATTATAGGAAATGCGCTAGGTAGAGCGACCCTTCATCCAAATCCATCTCTTCGTATTCCTTAGAAAGCTCGTCAGAAGCATCGCTCCTGGACAGTAAGAGGGGCTTTATATCCGACAAGGCAGCCAGTATTAATTCGTGTTGAGCTGCTGAACCTCTTACTCTAGCCGCAAGAGTAGCTGGGCCGATAATTAGAGCTGTACAAAAAGGGCAACTTAACATTTTATTTTTCATTTGTGTATAGACTTTCAGGAAGTGAGGAACAGTCTGGTACAAAGGCCAAGCCGACAGTTGGGAGAGCAAATCGTATTTTATTAAGGACCCTTGGGTCCATCTCTGTCCCAAGTAACTCTTCTTTGGAATCTACAATAATTTTCCAACTGCGCCAACTTTCAGGTAGATGATCAGCGGCCAAAATTTTTATTCTAGAGACGATATCATTTTCCTCCGGATCATCACAATCCAGATCAAGGGGAGTTTCCAATGAACACATCTCTGGCGTGGCAGTAGCCTGCAACCAAAGAAAAGACGATTAGTTGCTGCAAGGGATCCATTTTTTGGAAATATGGCAAGAGAGACCTCAGGAATAAAGAATTCAGTCAATTCCGTCTTCCGGTGTTTGAAGTAGAGCAAGCTTTTTTTCCTCGATATTTAATAATTGTTGTTCTACAGCTATATTCTCTTCGCGCGGTGATTTTCTTTTTAAACGAGGTGTCGCTGTACGTGGAGATGACGTGTTTTTTGTTTCAGATACAAGTTCCCTTTGCCTTTTATTTATTCGTAAACCACCATTGTTGGTATTGACTTGTGAAACACCATCCTTAGCGCCTACTTGTGAAAAATCGGCACTTACGATCTCTTGTGAAACACCGGTAGTCACACTCACTTGTGATGAAAAATCCACTTTAGCAGAATTTTCGTCTGAAGACTATTTATTTTCAATATCGTCGTTGTCAAGCAAAGAGGTCTGCGATTCTTCCATAGTTCTCGGAGCTACTATATCCTTCAGAAACTGCAAACTGTCAAAATATTGCCATTTTCCTGTATACTGTCCATCTTCATCTAGAGCGTCGCCTGAACGAGGTTTACGAACTTTTTTTAATTCTTTTGCGAATTGATCGCGTAAATATCGCCATTTTTTTTAGCTTCTTCCTCTCAAAAAAAATCATGTATAAATAACTATGCTTTATTTTGTTTCAGGTACCTATCCACTGGAATCGCGTTTAGGCAAATTACCTTTACATTTCGAATATCAAAGTCATCAGTCGCGTTTACAAAGCGCTTTGGGATACACTTCAGAGACTTCATATGCCTTTGCCTACCGTCAGAGATTTTGAAAATGTTTAGGCAGTATCGATGGAAAACATATAAGAGTTAAATGTCCTGCAAAATCGTGAAGCATGTTTTATAATTATAAACATTTTTTTTTCAATAGTATTAATGTCAGTTGTCGATGCTAATTACCGATTTTTAATGATCGATGTGGGTGCCTATGGAAAATACAGCGATGCTTCTAGTTTGCTTCTAGTTAGTTGTTTTTTATGCTTCTAGCGATTTTCTAATTTACAAATTTATCAAAACATCGAAAATGGGACTTTACTTTTAGCAAAATATCAACAACTACCTAACAAATCGTTCCTTTTGTGTTTATAGGAGATGAAGCGTTCCCATTAAGAACCTATCTATTACGACCATTTCCTAGAAGGCGACTGCAAAATAATGAACCTGCCTATTATTACAATTACCGTTTATCACGTGCCAGAATGAGTGTGGATTGAGTGTGGAACAAAAACATTCTTACTGATAGTTCAGACTGCTCTAAACCGTTTTCCGATATATCTAACAGATTTCGAGTTATTTGGGAAAATTTACAAAAGAAATATTTTTTTCTGTTTTCCGAAACATTTAACACGAAATATCTCTGGTTTTATGGAATCATTAAAAAAAAGTGCAACTATGTCATTTTAGGTACACACCCGGGTAACATGACATAGTACAAAGTTAAAAGCGTTATTATGAAACTTTTATTTAAAAAAAACAACAAATTACATAAAAATATAATAAAACAGTAACTAATAATTAGCGGCATAATTCGCACTTATATTTTTTCGCTTTTTTGCCAACATCCGCACACTCACAATGAGCTCATCGCTTGCAAGCTGTGCATCGAATCCAGGTTTCCTTGCTTTTTGACTTTGAAAACAGTTCCAAACAATAGAGGCCAGAAGCATCGTCTTCGTCGTCGTCCTCATAAAATAGACCAGTCTCTTCATATACATCATCGGCGTTGAACTTAATCCGTTTTTTGACAGCTGTTGTCGATTTGCGTCTTTTTTTGGCTAATTTATCTTCAGTCTTTTTTCGAATTTCTTCAAGAAACGGTGTGCTTGTCCATATTAGCAGCCTGCTGAGAACTTTTTCTTTTCTTTTGTGCTTCAGGGTAAACTTCGGGAATTGGCGATATTTCTGCGATTCTTACTTTTGCTGAGGTTTCTGGAATAAAATAATTTGAAGGACCAGCCAGCAGAGGACTACGAGTAGTGATGGAGTCCTAAATAACGGGAACGCGTTCTGGTGTCAAAGAATTAGGGTCTTCTGGATTTTCTGTCGATCTTTGACTTTGCGACAGGCCATCTTCATCCCGAGCAACACTGTTGTTTGGACGATTCGTTGTATCGCTTGGCGCAAATTCATGTTCCTCAAAAATGTCGGGATTCACAGGAAAAAGGCCACATTTCTCAAAGCCATTTGTCGCTGATTTTACTGTGGCAGCTTCTCCATAGGCAACTGCAAGTAATGAGCTAATTTGGTACTGCGTGACCACTCGTCCCGGATGTTCCCTTAACCATTTAGAAATCTCTTGATCGTAGAATATTTTAAGCGGGCCGAAAAAGGAAACATCGAGTGGCTGTAGTCTATGGGTGCGGGTGCAATGGGAGGGTAAAGATACAAGAATTATCCTATGACTTTTAGCGTACTCAAGAACCTTCAAGTTTTTGTGACTGGCATGATCATCTACGATAAGGAGAACTTTATCTTCTGCAGAAGGTTTAACGTATTTGGAAAAATGCTGCAGCCATTTCAGGAACAGTGGACCAGTCATCCAACCATTTTCCTGTACAAGTCCAAGAGTTCCGAGAGGAGCACCGTCTAATAACTCATTTTTAAAGTTTTTGCGAGCAAATATTAAAGTCGGTGGTACAAAATGTCCTGTGGTTCCCATACAACACACTAACGTTACATGTTGTCCTCTTTCCGCACTCGTTAATGCACCAACCTGTTTTTTTCCATTGGTAGCAAAAACTTTGGGGTTTTTTTGGACTGTTGTAAGTGTGCTTTCGTCAACGTTGTAAATTCTGGTATAATTAATGTTATTATCAGTAATTGTTTTGATGTACGTATCAAAAAAGGCTTGAACTCGCGGCCTGTTAAAGCCCATAGCACGGGCAGCACTAGTTGCCTCCGGTTTTCGCAAACTTGGTGTCTGATGTCTGGATGCCGCTTTCTAAAACCCGTTAGCCAATCCCACCCAGCCGTACGTTTTTCCATGTTAAAACGATGCTCTAAGCCGTAACGTTCTGCAATTTCGAAAGCTAACTTCTTTAAATCTGTAGCAGATAAACCAAAAAAGCGAGATTCTAGCAGTTTGACATGATCAATAAGTTCCCTTTCCGTGTCCTCATTAAATATTGTTTGAAATCTGCCTAGACCCTTAGTTGAACCTCGAAATTTCTTATTTTTACCATTTCTGCTCCGCCTTCGTAAGGTAGCTTGTGGTACACCAAACTGTTCCGCTGCCTTTAACCATCCCATTTCATTATTCTCAACTGCCTGCAGCGCTCGATTCATCAATTCTTCACTCCACTCCTGTCTAGTGGTCTTTCTTTTATATTTTCCAACCATCTATTAATAAGAATATTATTAAAAAGTTGTTGAATAATTTCGCTAAAGGTAACTACACCCCGTTCACTTTGTATTTATAGAATAGGCGGCCATGACCGACAAAAAATGGGTTGGCAACTGCTTTCGAAAGTGTCAAAACATATATTTTGACACTGACACGGCGGTTAATAAAAACTTCACTGCCAATTCTGAATTCCATCGCTTCTCTAACTGTTTAGAATAATTACTAATGAGACGAAAAGATAAATCCAACAAGTTTCCCAATAACTCGAACTTAAATTAGGCACAACCGAATTTTCTGTTTGACAAAAAACTTAACCTTAAATCAGAATCCTTCAGTGTGTTAGGAAGTTTTTGTATAAAATTCAGGGTAGCCATAATATCACCAGATTTCCATGGCCGCCCTTTCTATAAAAAGAAAGTAAACGGCTATTAGTATTAAAAACACTGATCAGGGCAAAATGACATACTGTGTCGATCTATTTCTTTTTGTTTCTTTGGTGGAAGCGGTTTATGAAAATGTTGAGTAATAGTAGATAGCTTACGAGACGATGTAGGATTGTTGTTGTTGCCGTTGTTGGCGGTTTTGTTGCTCTGGGGGATGTTCTTGTGGAATCTCCTGCAGCTGGTTTTCGTTGTCGTCTACATGGGCATTAACTAAAGCAACTGTTTCGGGAGAGGCCTGCCGTTGCTGTTCAATTTTTTTGAGAGGGTGTTTAGCTTTCAAGTGGCGAATTAAACCACACGTAGATTTATTTGCAACAAATAACTGTTGTCCACAATAAGTGCACTTTACCTTTTTTGCGGCGTCGATGGGGTTAAAATGCAACCACACTTCATTTTTTTGTTTTGAGGCCATAATTATATTGCACGCTTATGTTACCGATTTAATTTGTAATAAAAGCGCAAAATTAATGTCTATACAAAATAAAATGCAAAATTTCGGCGTGCTTTGCTTTATACCAACACGCAGACAAATAGCCTACAAACAAAAAACTTCGACTTGCTTTCCTAACGACGCAAAGGAAGGCGACAATGAGATGAGAACCGACCTCGCACGTGTTCCCTTTTATATAAGAAAAAAACAATCTTCCCGCAAAAGATCGCCGCCACTTAGCCGGCTCAAAAAATTGCCAGACAGTAGTTGTCATATTTATTATGTATTGATAGGATATTTTTATTTTTAAATTTTATTGTGATATTTTATTTTATAAACATTTATTATTTTTTTGTAAATAATTTGTTAGCCAACTAAACCCCTAAAAAACTACAATGTGACAATAGCGTAGAAAATGACACAGCTTTTTACAGCAGAGAGTGTATTGGTCGGATTGGTCCGACGTCCGACCTTTCGTAGTTTTGGCTCTGTACTGTATAATCATAGCGCAATTGAGTTAACGCATTGTGCCGATAAAGGAGGTGCGTCAGCGTTATAGTATCAGCGCAATAAATTTCAGTGCGTTATCCATGACTAGTTGCGTGCACCAGAAATGGGCGACACTAACAATTGCTGCTCACAGTATGTAAAAATAATAAAATATACATATCAGAGGGCATTGAGTATGCCAGAAATGGGCGACACTACTTAATAATTTATTAATGGCCCCCAGCATGTGAGACGAATAAGGAATATTAAGCCTAAAGGCATTAAGGTCCCAAAGGCTCTGATCCGTATTTGTACGTGTTCCTTTATTCTTAGTTTCTACACCTACTTCTGTTTCGTTTTTCTTTGGTTTAGTCATTTTTTTGTTTTTATTTCAAAACTTGTTTTTCTACCTTCTTCTGTTTCGTTCTTCTTTGGTTTAGTCATTTTTGGTTTTATTTCGAAACTTGTGTCATTATTGGTACATCTTAAATCATTTTTCTGCAATTTTCAGTATTCAATTTTCTTTCTTCAGACTTATGGGCTACATTGGTAAAAGCTTTAATATTTTTTATTTTACTTTTCTCGATCTCACTTCTTACTTGCAAAAATTGCTTATAAAGTTTTGTCCAAAGGCAAGTTCAATAAACTAGCCGACTGTTCTTCAGACATTCGTGATTACTTGGTCTGATTCACCATAGGTGTAATTATTTCAGCTTCCCAACAAACACAAGTTCTTTGGCCCGGCGTCGGGCTTTATCATTTTTGCCTGAAGTCGATCGACGGGTCTTAGCAGTGTAAAATCAACCGCCCGGACCGTATATGTCCGCCTAGCCGATTGTCGAGCCGTCATTTGGCCGAAAGATGGTTAAACGCCGGGCCGGCGCGGCGTAACGAATAGAATAATTTCAAGTTGTGGGCCAGAGTCGTACCTTAAAGCGAAATTGCGCTGCATCTCCTACGGGACATCACCGGGCATGTGTGATGTACGTAGACATTATTTTAAATGGTTTGTGGTGCCACCAAATCAAATACTTATTCAGTAAACTCTGCTATTAACAATAATTAGTATTAAAGTAACCCAGTTTTAATATTTTACAACCATAGCAATAATCAATCGAACATTATAAATTTATATTATATAAAGGTAGAATAAATTAGTATTAGTATGGCAACAATCGAGTAATCATTTACATGACCCTAAACACATTTTTACAGGTTTTTAATCTTTTTTTTAGGCGCTGCAGTTTTTTCGTACTTGTACCGTGCTGGATCGCAACCGGCATTTATTTCCGGACCTACATCGGCCCGACTTTATTACCATCACATCTTATGCAACAAAATGTTTGCAAAAAAAATTATTATTAGTATTGCTACTGTAGTGTCCTACAAATAAAACGACATATAATGTAAAAAATTCACAGTCCTTTACAAAGATGCAACCGGGGGGCATTGAAAATGATGAATAAAAACGTAAAAATATGATTAGTGTTAATATGAGTGTATTACATACATATGTTTAAATAACGAACCTAACAAAAAAAACAGATTTAAAGATTCACTGAAAAAGTAGTAATGTTAACATTAAATATAACATTATCAATAATAATTATGCGATCGCACCTATCCGTAAAACAAGCAAGCAAAAAAACCTCGAAAAAAAACAAAATAACATACAAAACATCAGGTTAACATGATGACAGATCATGATCAATGACAGATAAAGAATTCTTACGGAAAGTTACACTTTACGATATAACTTTTTACCTGTTAAAGGCAAACCCCATTTAAACACAAAACTTTTTAATACCTACTACTGTATCTAAAAGACTTTTTTTTTAAATTACTAAATTCTTAGCCACGCTTCTGTTTTTCTTGGCTGTTGTGCGTCACGTCACAGATTAACAGGCCAACGTTTGCACCACAAGGCGATGCTGCAGACCACTAGGTAGACCGGTCGTAGAAATTTATGTTATACAACTTGTAGTCAATCTACACAAATATTATCAAAAACTTTTTTTCTTTTAAAACGTGTTCAGATTTTGTAAAAAGTATAAGTCAAAATCGCAAAACTTAAATTTGATATGAGTTTCTTAGTTTTTAACTAATATAGTGGCGAATTACAAAAATTCCTTTTCAATGAAAATTAATGAGTTAAATAAGATAATTTAATAAATTACTAGCTTTTTCGCGCGACTACGTTCGCGTTACACCTCGAATCGTTCATGCATTGATTTAAATGATTTTTTACTTCTTTATAGCTAGTGAGCATAGATGTTTTTTATTTTTCATCTTTTTTTTTATTTATTAAGGGCACTAGTACTCTCTTTATAGGTTATTTTTTATTCTTTGAAGGATAATTGAGGAAGATATATTTCGTTATGATGTCACTAAATAAACCCTTGTATAAAATTTTATACTGTCTGGTTTATAATGTTATAATATTGCATTTTCGTACAGCAAATTTTCATTCCCTATTCTACTCCCTAAGGGTATAAATTTCATAATTTGCTTTATCTTTGTGCCAATTTTTATGTGTATAATCCAGAGGTCACCAAGTTTTATATAAATTTTTACTAACTTTACCCATTTGGTTGATGAATTTCAAAAATTTCTTCTAATTATTTTTGTAGGATTTCATTTTTCTAGACCAAATAGTAAGGAATTTTCATACAGCAAACTGTTCCGACATAATTTTACTCTCTAAGAGGATGAATTTCCTAAAATCGCTTTGTGTAGCTAATTCACTAATGGCGTTTAAACGAACCTTTGTGCTAATATTTATGTATCTAAACCTGGCGGTATGAACTCACTCCTAAAATATCTAAAAACTTAAAATATAATCTAACTGACACACCACTGACAATGACAAATAATTTATTTCTGGAGGTATTGTGTGTAGGTGTTTTCAGGTATGTTTTAGTATTTAGTCGTTTTACACAAAGAAATAGCCATTA